CCAAACCCAGCTCAAATACTTCCTTAACTCATTCAATCTCACCCAGATTGGGCCTCTTTCACTGCTCCTGTATGCCTCAAGAGTCTTGACTATTTTAGGGTATACTAGTTGAACAAGTAAGTAAATATATTGTAGATAATGAGAGGCAGGTTTCTCACTGTCAGAGAAATAAGTTATGCATAAGGAATTGGAGAGAGCTAAATTTCTGTGACGTTAGACTGGAATTGGAGATATCAGTATGAACTCACGGTTTTTTAATAGATAGGTGTGTGAATGCATGAGTATACACACATATATTTCCTGGCTCTGTCTTCTGGGAGGGCCTAGAAACAACGGCACTCCAGTAGCAATATGTACATCTAGCACCAACATCTTGGTTTCTAAATACCATCCTCCAATAAAAGAAAACGCTTCTTGGAGAAGTGATTGATTCCAGGGGTAGGGCAAGGAAAATACAAGATGAGCCTGGGGATTAGAAAGTTAAGACAGTGGGGGTGCCTGGGTGGTGCAGTTGGTTGAGTGTCCGACTCTTAGTTTCAGTTCAGGTTGTGATCTCAAGGTTGTGAGATCCAGCCCCACATTGGGCTCCACGCTCAGCATGGAGTCTGCTTAGGATTCGCTCTCCCTCTCTCTCTGCCCCTCCTCCCGGGTGTGCACTCGCTCACTCACTCGCACACGCTCTCCCTCTCTCTCTCTCTCCCCCTCTAAAGTGAATAAATAAATCTTTTTTTAAAAAAAGTTAAGATAGTGCTCAAAAAAGAATGGAGACATACAAAAGGACACAGGAATCAACCTGAAGGAGCTCCCAACAGCCAAAATTAGAATAATTTGAACAATAAAAATAATGATGGTTTTGGATTGTAACCCATAGAATAATATAAATATCCATGAGTTCATACCAATAAAAATAATTAAATAAACAACTGAAGGAGAAGGGACAGTTCTTCCTTACAGAAGAATTCCAATTAAATGCAGAAATAAGGAAAATAGAAAATCAAGAATGATTTCTCGTTCATTAAAATGATGAGCCATTGAGGCAAACTTTGTGCCTCTGGATCTCCTCTCTGGCTGCATTAAATAATCCCCAGTGTTTAATTAAATAAATTTGCTCATCTCTGTTCCTACCAAATTCAGCTGGGGCAAAGTCCAGTGCCACCCCTTCACAGATAGGAGGGTACACATGCTTGGTGGTAGACCAGGAGCCCAAAGGGCCAAAATGGCTGCAATACTACTCAGCACCATGCAAACCTCTCCTCACCCTGTTTAGGCCTTGGGATTTCTCGATTTCCTTTCTTTCCTTGAATTACCAGACCTTCAATGAGGTATCAAAACCTTAACTATGCTTCAAGATCCAGCATGCTTCTCTAAGAGTCCCCAGTGTATCAGGATTCATTTGATTGCAAGTAACAGAAAACTGATCTCAAATCATCTGAAGCAAAAGGAGAATTTCCTGGCACATATAACTGGAAAGTCCAGTGGGAACCTGGCTTCAGGCTCAGCAAGATCTAGGGACTCAAATGACACTTCTCTCTACAATACTGACTCTGTTCACAGACAGGCTTCCCCTCATGGTGGCAAGAGGGCTGCCAACAGCTCTAAGTCAACACCCTATATTCGCAGCTAATGCAGCAGAAAAGGCAGTGCTCTATGGCGGACACCCCCAAAAGTCCTGGACCTGATGCTCACTGCCCAACACTGGCTTGAGTGCCCATCCCTGAATCAATCTCTAGGGCCACAGGAATGGACTCCACAGATAGCCTAAGTCATGTGCCCACTCTTGGAGCTGAGGGTGGAGTGAGTCTCACTCAAACCTCGCGGTGAGTACATGAGATATGGGTGGCTCCCCAAAGGAAGTTTTAAATGCTACTCCCCAAAATGTGAACAGCTCTTGAGCTGAAAAATTAACATCTGTCTACAATAGCAGAACCCCTCGGTCAGAATCAACTCAGCCCTGCCTCCTGGACGTCTGTACCAGCCATGACTTCTTCCTGCCTTGTTTACAGGCTGGTCCACACCTGTCGCCTCTGGTTATAAGCAACCTGGACACGAGGAATCTGGTTCTTCAAAGCACTGGGGCCTCACCCCACCCCCTCAGCTGCCCAGCAAAGTGCCACTGAGCCCCTAGAAAACACTCCTTCGCTTTGGTTCCCACTTCCTCCTGATGTGAATGGAGCTGAGTCACTTGAGATATCAGCCGGCCGAGCACGAGCCTTGAAAGTACTTCTCTAAGTCACTGTCTCTTGCTCTAGCATACTCTGGGACCTGGGGACGCTGGCTTGACAGGTGAAATAATTATGCTTTACCCTTCACTCATTCCTTTATCAGTCACGAAGACGAGAACAGATAAGTGTTCCAACGGAAGAACATACTCCTGCCATATTTACTCCTGTTCTTCAGTGCCAGCCAGCTCCCCTTCCCAGGCACAACTCCTGGGGACCAGCCTCCACCCATTACCTGTGCCAGCTGCCGCATGCTACCCTCCTGTCAAATATCAGGCTGCACTTTCCTTCCTGCATCCCCCAAAGCCGTCAGCTTCCCCGGGGGCCGTGGCCCTACTGCCTTTCAGATGACTTACCCGTGAGGGCCACTGTGGGCACGTCACCCATCCCCTGTGTGCTCTGCAGGGAGCTTGCCCCCGTGGCCCGGCCTGCACCTCTGTGCAGAATGTCGCTCTGGTCGGCTCTAAGGCGCACAGCCCTGGTTAGATGGAGAAAGAGGGGCGGGGAACAGGAGGGGGTGGGCACCAAGTCTCAGAGCCCGGGGCTTTGAGATCTTCTGACACAAACTAACATTTCATTCATTCATTTGCTCAACAAACCTTTATTCAGGACCTACTGTGTCCTGGGTACTGCTGTAGGTGCTGCAGACACGGAGACAAGTGTCTGTCCTCAGGGAGCACCCTTCCTGGTAGACATCTGACTGGTTTTGTTTTTAAAGATTTTATTTATTTGACAGAGAGAGAGTACAAGCAGGGGGAGTAGCAGGCAGAGGGAGAAGGAGAATCAGGCCTCCCACTAAGTGGGGAGCCTGACATGGGGCTCCATCCCAGGACCCTGGGATCATGACCTGAGCTGAAGGCAGACACTTAACCAACTGAGCCACCCAGGTGCCCCAACATCTGACTGACTTTTGATACCTACTTCACATTTACACTTCACAACACACCGTCTCAGATATTATCTATATAATCCTCAATATGTGGCAAAGCCAACTGTGATCTATAGACAGGAAAATGGTAGCTCCAAAGGCTAAATGACCATCCCAAAGACAGAGCACAAATTCAGGTCTTCCATATACAAACCTTGCACCCTTTCCAGGTCCCCTCCCAAGGAAGGAGCTAGCAGGGTGTAGCCTGAAACAGACATTAAGTCAACTCAGTCCTAGGCATCATCACTGGAGGTAGACAATACAAAAAAGATGACCCAATCCCTGATCCAAAAGAATCTATAGGCTAAAGTGAGAGAAAGACATGTAACCAATTATCATCCGTGGTAGGAATAAAGAAGACAGAGTGATTAAATTCAAAGAGGAAGATATCTCTGGAAGGATACATAGAACATGATGATCACTTCCAGGCAGAAAACCTGGGTACCTGAGGAACAGGGAGAAGAAGATCATTTTGGATGTTCAAATGTTACATACTCTGAATTGCATGCCATGTGACTCTACTTCCCATTAAATGATGCTTTGAGGATGCAATTGGCCTAATTCTACAGGGTAAATGATCTGCTTTCTTCAACAAGCAAATAGCTCAAAAAAAGGATGGGAAGGGAAATATTATAGATTTGAGAAGATTTTGGTTGATGTTTCCTAATGCAATATATGCATCTCGTTTGAATCTAGACTATAATGCACCAACTTTAAAAAAACATTTTTGGGACCAGGGATATTTGAGTATAAACTAGCCATTAGAAGTTATTAAGGAAATACTGTTAATTTTGTTAGTTATGATTACAGTATTGAAGTTTTTTTAAGGTACTTATCTATTAGAGATACAGACTGAAGTATTTACAGATGAAATAATACAATGCCTGAGATTTGCTTTTAAATATTCGAGCAAAAATAAATAAATGAATTAAAAGTGAATGAATGAATGAATGAATAAAGGGGTGAGTAGATGATACAAGACTGACAAAATGTTGATAATGTCTGTCGAACTGTCATCCAGTTCCATAAGGGTTCATTATACCATTCTCTCTTATAATGGTTGAAATTTCTATAATGAGAAGTTTAAATACAAATTTTAAAATTAATTACCCCATCCACCAAGAAAGATTGAGAAGGAAAGCATCACGGAGGAGAGGTATTTGAGCTGAGGCCAGAAGGATGACTAGAAATTTTCTAAGGGGCCAAGGGCATTCCAGGCTGAGCAAAGACATACAGATCTACCACAAACCTCTCTCCGGAGGAAACAAAAGTATCTACGCTTGACCCCAAACTCAACTTACATCCAAAAAAAAACCCTCTTGCTTGATGCCCCAACTCATCTAGTTGTAGCCTGAAAATCAACTGACCTATTGCAAGTGAAGAAAGAGGGTGTGGGGTCAACAGCTCCATTCAGCGGTCTAGCAAGACGCCCCAGCATAGCCTTGAGAGGACAGGAAAGCAATTAACCTCTTTCAACTGGGTTTTGCCTGACAAAGCACTTCGGAAGCCAACTGAGTTATCTCAGGAACAGAGCCTTCATCCCTCCTGAATCATCCCAGACACCTGTGCTCCCCCAGAAACATACACCAGCCTCCCCAACAGTGCCTTGTAGATTAATAACCTCAGTACCATGGGATCCAGCTTGACGTCAGCCCGGCAGCCTAGCCCATCAGCACAAAAACACCTCCAATGAGGAGAATGCCCTCCCCTCCTTGCTCCCAAGCCCCCAGTCTCAATCCCCACACAGATCCCTGCCCACCTCCAGCTGCATGCAGGAAGCTTGCTGGCTTTGCAGCTACTTCAGGACTTATCTAGTCCTGGCCTGGCTCAAATGGGTCCCCTGGGCTCCTTACCTTGGATCGAAGCCGCAAGTACTCCTCTGAACCATAGGGGACACTCCTCAGGGAGGTGAGATAGTCATAACTGATGACAGCTGTCTGTGAACCAAGGAAAAGAAAGGCTCAGCTCCTGGGCATCAAATATTGCTCCTCAGCCCCCGCCCTGCACCTGCAGGCCCCTGACACAGGCCATATGTCTACAGAAGTAGACAACACCTCCCCTAAGATGCTCTGTCCCCCAGATCTTAGCCTGGCTAACTTCTTCCTGTCAATCAGGGCTCTGCACAAATGCCACCTTTGCAAGAGAGCCCCAATCTAACGTTGCCCCACCCACCAGCAACTCTCAATTATTTATCGTAACAACATTATCATACCCAAAATCACCTTGCTCACTTGTTTCCTTGTATGTGGACTATCTTCTCTTTGCTAGAATTTCAGCTCTGTAAACACAGAGGCCTGTCCTTCCCGTTCATCACTGTACCCCCAGCACCTTTTTACTATGCCAGGCACATAGGTAAATGCTCAGTAAAGACTAGTTGAATGAATGCTGGATAAACTTATTATCATAAATAAACATCATTTTATATTTATGTTGCTCGGATAGCCTGAGTTTTGATTCTGGGTCCCTTGCCCAAAAGTCCAGGAGAAGTCCCCATATCCTTGGTGAATCAGAAAATTGCAGGCTTCAGATACCTCAGACATGGAGGAAGACGGAGGATTACCCAGGCCAAACCTTCCTTTTTAGAACTGAGCAACTGAAGCCACTAAAAACTAAGGGATTTCCAAGGCTGATACCCAGAGAAGTCTATTCCTTTGCCTACACCCCCGAAGCTTTACTCCATTTGACATAAATTGTGTTAAACGCCAACCACAAACAAGAGCTGGTCACTGAATAATGCACAAGGCCGATTAAGACCAGAGCCCTGGCCTTTAAAGAAGGCACAGCCTAGTGACTGGTTTATAAAGCACTGGTAAATACCTTCTTCCCTCATCTCCAGCTACAGTTGGTCCTGAACAACCCGGACAACACGGATTTGAACTGTGTGGGTCCACTTATACATGGGTTTGGTTTTCTTTTTGTTTTTTGTTTTTGGTTTGTTTGTTTAGTTTTTTGTTGTTGTTGTTGTTTTGGTAAACTGCAGTACAGTACTGTAAAGGTATTTTCTCTTATCATTTTCTTTTTTTTATTTTTCTTATTATCTTTTTATTTATTTGACAGAGAGAAAGAGCACAAGCAGGCGGAGTAGCCGGGAGAAGGAGAGGGAGAAACAGGCTCCCCAATGTGGGGCTCAATCCCAGGACCCTGGGATCATGACCTGAGCTGTAGGCAGATGCTTAACAAACTGAGCCACCCAGGCACCCCCCCTTATGATTTTCTTAATAACATTTTCTTTTCTCTGGCTTACTTTATTGTAAGAATACAGTATATGATACATATGACATACAAACAATGTATTAATCAACTGTTCATGTTATCTGTAAGGCTTCTGGTCAACAGTAGGCTATTAGTTGTGAAGGTTTTGGGGAGTCCAAAGTTGACTGCATGGGTGTTGGCACCCTAACCCCCTTGTAGTTCAAGAGTCAACTGTATTTAAATCCCTAAGGTTCCATCAAAGCCTACTTCCCTGAGGCCACGCATCCTGACTATCCTACAGGTCTCACTCCTGTGTCTGAGGTCCCCTAGCAGTGGTCACCTGAGTCACACATCTTGACCCAATCCGTGGCTTTAGATTGATTGTTTCTGACCCATTCATGTGAGCACTTCTCAATCATAAGCTCCTTCAAAGCTGGGTCGAGGTGGGACAGTTCATTTCTACCTCTCAAAGCATGTAAGACACTGCTGGGCCCCTAAAATGTCCTGGGCAAACACTCGGCAATCATTTTATATCCCAAGGCCTATTTATCTATTTGTCCATCTAGGTTCTATGACTAGCTCAGGAGAAGACTTCACAACACTGAGTATTAAGGAAACAATCAGACAACAACCCAAACAGACCGTGTATCAGAGTCTATCCACAACAAGCGAAAGAAAGGACAAGCTCATCCTGCAGCAGATAAAGGAGGAAAGAGAGCACTGAGGCACGTGGCAATCTACCCACCGATCAGGCAGTTATATGTGCCTGTCCGGGAGCATTGCTCTCAGCAGCATGAAGGGGACACGATCACACAGGAAGGATGTCCCAGGCCATGGGAGAAAACCTCTAATGGTGAAATATTCAACTCAGATCCTCTGTTAGTTTGGGGTTTGCAGGGGATCCTCAAAAATCCTCCAAGGCCCTGCTGCTCTGAGTACGAGCCCTGCCTCAGGAACCATGTACACCAGCTCACGGGAAAGAAACCAGGTTTCCTGATAGAATTTCATCAAAGCTGCACAGTCCTTCCATAGGCATTGGCTGAGGAGTACCAGCCCAGGTCTGTCGCTAAAATACGATACAGAATCTAAAATGTAAAGGCTTGGGCGCCTGGGTGGTTCAGTCATTAAGCATCTGCCTTCAGCTCAGGTCATGATCCCAGGATCCTGGGATCGAGCCCCACATCGGGCTCCCTGGTCCGCGGGAAGCCTGCTTCTCCCTCTCCCACTCCCCCTGCTTGAGTTCCCTCTCTCGCTGTGTCTCTCTCTGTCAAATAAATAAATAAAATAAAATAAAATAAAATAAAATAAAATAAAATGTAAAGGCTTCACAACAGAGACTGTGTGCAAGCCCGTCCTGCTGGAGTTCAGTAGGACCGAGGTGGGCCATACGGGAATAGAGATACAGGAGGGCACCCGCAAAGCTCTGCACACGTAAGGGTGTTACAGGTGTATCTCCACATCTGCTACATGTATGAACGCCTGCAGGTAATACTGCAGTCCATCTGCCACCTGGCGATGAGGAAAACCTACCGTGGCAACGGCCCTGCCCACCCTGACAGCGCCGAAGTCACTGGGATCCAAGTACTTGTTACTGTAGAGGCAGAAGCCCGAGGCAGCCAGAGCCGCGCTGGTCCACGAAGCAAGCTTGAGAGCCCTTCGGGCCATGTTCCCAGACCCTGCAGAAGGAAAGGAGACAACAAGGAACAGTTGAGTTCTGTAGTTAGTGGGACCAGGACCCAAATTCAGGCTCTGCCACTTAAATAGATTATATGACCTCGGGTCATTTTCTTACTGCAAAAGTTGTTGGGATAAAATGAGATCATGGATATAAAATGCTTAGTGGAGTACCTGGCACAGGTCAACTCTCAAAGTCATTATTCCTTGCACAGTGCCAGGTACCATTCGAGGCACTGGGGGGAAAGGAGACAAAGCAAAGTCCTTGCCCACGCGGTGCTTACGCTCTAGATGGCACGACAGATCCACAGCACACAGACATATTAGAATAGCAGCTGGTATTAACTGCGGAGAAGAAAATCAAAGAGGGTAAGAGGAAGGATGATACATATGCAAAAAAGATGCTCTTTTAGATAGGGAAAGTGGCAGAGCATGCTAATCCTCGTTACTTGTAACTATTACTTTACCACCACGCACACATAGGTGTCATTAGCCCTCCGTGCCCAGGTCAGAAGTGCTCAGGCCAAAAACGGCAGCTGGTCAGAATCATCCAGATAAGCTCCCACGTCTGGCTGATTTCCAGAATATTTATTTCAGTTAAAGTAAACTGCCCCTTGTCTAGATCAGTGGCTCCCTGAGGGCCCACACCATGACTGTTATTACGCTGTCCACTCACAGTCCGGCAGGGTACTTTGCGATTGGGGATTCAATGGCCCCCTGCTAATCTGTTTAACCAGACCCACTCCCAGTCAGTGGGATCAAGTGGGCTCAAGGCTCCCTGATTCCCTTCCCCACCCTACTTATAGTAGCTCAGTCCACCAGGTGGACTGTTGGAGCTTTTAAGGGCCACTGTACCCAATAGGCTGTTTCCCCTTCAGTTTCTGGGAACTCTGTATCAGACTAAAATCCTCGACCACAGCTGCAGGAGGCAGGGGAGAAGTCCAGGAGAAGTGAATCACCAAGCCACCCGCATGTGCAAACCCTGTACAGACCAGCAGGAAGATTCAGGTCATCCCTGTTTGCTTCTGCTCTGGACTCAGTCTGTGACCACTCCTTCCCTGCTCTGTGCCTCTGTTTCCCCTTTGTAGGAAACTATTGCTACACACAGCCTTGTCTTCTTTTTCTTTAAAATCTATTTGGACTCGAGCCTCACAGTATAGTCACAGATTTTTTTTAAGTATTCACAGGTACATCTTTCTTCCATTCTTCTACTTTGAGCTTAAATTTTATACTATTTCTCTAAACAACATATACTTGATTTTTTTTGTTTGCATTTAATATAACTTATGTATTTAGATTTAGTTTTATTATCTCCTTCCATTTCAAAATACAGATTTCTTATACCACATTAACAAAATGAAGGATAAAAATCACATAATCATCTCAACAAATGTAGAAAAAGCATTTGACAAAATTCTATACCCATTTATGATTGAAAACTCTCAACAAAGTAGGTACAGGGGAACATACCTCAACATAATAACGACTATATATGCCAAGCCCACAGCTAACAGCATACTCACTGCTGAAAGATTTCCTCGAACATCAGGAATATGACAAGGATGTCTACTCTCACCTCTTTTATTCAACATAGTACTAGAAGCCCTAGCCAGAGCAATAGGCAAGAAAAAGAAATAAAAGCCATCCAAATTGGGAAGGAAAAAGTAAAACTATCACTATTTGCAGATGACATTTATATACAGAAAACCCTGAACAATCCACCAAAAAACTATTAGAATAAACAAATTCAGTAAAGTTGCAGGATACAAAATCAGCATGCAAAAATCTGTTGTGTTTCTATACACTAATAATGAATAATCAGAAAGAGAAATTAAGAAAACAATCCCATTTATAATTGCATCGAAAATAAAATACCTAAGAATAAATTTAACCAAGGAGGTGAAAGACCTGTACACTGAAAATTATGAGACATTTATGAAAAAATTAAAGACACCAATAAACGGAAAGATATTCTGTGTTCACAGATTGGAAGAATATTGTTAAAATTTCCATATTACCTAAAGCAGTCGACAGATTTAATGGAATCCCTATCAAAATTCCAATGGCATTTTTCACAGAAATACAACAAACTATCCTAAAATTTGTATGGAACCACAAAAGACCCAGAATAGTCAAAGCAATCTTGAGGAAGAAGAACAAAGCTGCAAGTATCATGGTCTCTGATTATACTACTATATTACAAAACTGTAGTAATCAAAACAGTATGGCAGTGGCATAAAAACAGACACATACATCAGTGAAACCCAACAGAGAGTCCAGAAATAAACCCATGCACATATGGGCAATTAATTTACAACAAAGAGGCCAAGAATATACAATGGGGAAAGGACAGTCTTTTCAATAAATGGTGTTGGGAAAACCAGATGACCACATGCAAGAGAATGAAACTAGACCCTCATCTCATATCATACTCAAAATGGGTTAAAGACTTGAACATAAGATTTTAAAACATAAAACTCCTAGAAGAAAACATAGGCAGTAAGCTCCTTGACATAGGTCTCAGCAATGACTTTTTGAATCTGACACCAACAGCGAAAGCAAAAAAAGCAAAAAAAAACAAATGGGACTACGTTAAACTAAAAAGTTCCCACAGAGCAAAGGAAACCATCAACAAAATGAAAAGGCAACCTACTAGATGGGAAAAAATATTTCTAAATCATACATCTGATAAGGGGTTAGTATCCAAAATACATAAAGAACTCATACAACTCAATAGTTTTAAAAAATATATTAAAATATGGGCAGAAGATCTGAATAAACACTTTCCAGGGAAGACATATAAATGGGCAACAGGAACACCAAAAGATGCTCAACATCAGTAATCATCAGGGAAATACAAATTTAAACTACAATGAGATATCACTTCACACCTGCTAGAATGGCTCGTATCAAAAAGACAAGAAATAACAAGTGTTGGCAAGGATATGAAAAAAAGGGAAGCCTTGTGAACTGTTGACAGGAATGTAAATTGGTGCAGCCACTCAGGAAAACAGTACGGAGGGTCCTCAAAAACTTAAAAATAGGACTACCATATGATCCAACAATTCCACTTCTGGGTATTTATCCAAAGAAAACAAAAACACTAACTCAAAAAGACATATGCATTCACATGTTCACTGCAACATTATTTACAATAGCCAAGATATGGAAACAACCTAAATGTCCATCAATGGATAATGGATAAAGAAAATGTGATACATAGGTGAATATAATGGAATACAATTCAGCCATAAAAAAGAATGAAATCTTGCCATTTGTGACACCATGGATTGGACCTGGAGGGTATTATGCTGAATGAAGTAAGTCAGAGAGAGAAAGACAAATACCATATGATCACACTTGTATGTGGAATCTAAAAAACAAACAAAAACAAAAAACAAACTCACAATTACAAAGAACAGTTTGGTGGGGGTGGGCAAAATGGGTGAAGGGGACCAACAGGTACAAACTTCTAGTTATAAAATAAATAAGTCATGGAGAAGTAATGTATGGCATGGACTATAATTTTTATTAAATATTTGAAAGTTACTAAAAGTAAATCCTAAAATTTCTCATCACAAGAAAAAAAATTTGTAACTATATGTGGTGATGGAGATTAGACTTACTGCAGTCATCATTTCCCAATGTATACAAATACTGAGCCACTACATTGTATTCCTGAAACTAATATATGTCAATATACCTCCATTTAATTTTTTTTTAAAAAAACACACAAAAATGTAGATTCTGAGGTCTACCCGTTGGCCCACTGAATTACCAACTCAGGGGGTGGGATTCAGGAACCTGCATTCTAATAACATAATGGGTGATTTTTATGCAAGCTAACGTTTGAGAACCATTCTTCTAAATATTTTCTTTTTACTACAGAGGCTGCATGTGTTCAAATCCATCAGTGAAACCATGCCCAAAAAACAAGCCTTCCAGCTTTATCATACCTATTCCCAACCCCAGGTATCTGCGATCACCCTTTAAGAGTGACAGCAAACAATTATTTTTAAAGAAATAATGTAAGAAACACATTTGTTCCCCTAAACACAAATGCTCTGGCCCAGCTCCTGGGTTTAGTTCCTAACTCTGCAAGAAAGGGGTTTGTAAATAAAAAGAAATTAAAATCTTGCTTTGTAGAATGGACTTTATATTCTTTTTTTTTTTAGTATTCTCTTTATTTATGAAAAGCTCCCTATCCCCACATCATTCTGCTAGCTTTTTATTTATTTTTTTTTCTGGCAACATTTTAATAAGCCAAGGGTTCCTTCCAGACAAGAGACATGGTAGTTGAGAACATGCACTCCAGCAGGCCTGGGTTTGAGCCCCTCTACTCACTTACCAACTGGGTAAGCAGGCAAATTACTAACTCTCTCTGACTCTTGTGACCTTCTCTATAAAATGGGGATGATGACAGCACTGTCTACTAGATGGGGTGGTGAGGGACGAGGAAATCATGCAAAAAGTATGGCTAGGTGCCACCTACACAGTAAGAACACAGTAGCAACTGCTATTACCACCACCACTCATCTCTTATTATTATAATTATTATTATTATGACTGTTATTAATTATTTCCTTTCCCAATGCCATGCTTTGGTAAAGGACCTTACTTAATCCCCTGCCTGTCAACTTCTGGAGGACTTCTGCAGGCCTCACCTCTAACATCCTGGCAGGCCCCCACCTAATCCTACCTTTTCACTTGGCTCTCTATACCCTCAGCCTTAAGTGTTTTCTATCAAAAAGGGCAGCATGCTCAGTTCACCCTCTACCTTGTCCCACCAAGACAGAGTGTTCCCAACTGGACCTGGCAGCAAGCCTTACATTGGGCTGCATGCCCTCAGCTCCTTATACATCTTCCTTCTTCAAGATCATCAGTGCAAGAAAGTCCATGAGAGGTGATTCAGGGACCTTCCCTGTGGGGCCTTCAGAGAAGCCCACATTAAAAAGGTCATATGGAGCCACTGGTGGCTCATGCATCGCCCTCCAGGCCTGTCCCTGTGGGCACGGAGGCCACCCCTAGTCTTGAGATCACCCACCCTGGGAGGGGAAGCCTCAGCCAAGCGGACACAATTCCCAAGACCCAGTTTTCATGCAAATGTCCTCAGTAATAAAAGAGGTGGAAATTGAAAAACATAAAACAAATGATATAGGAGCCAAAGTATGTCTAAATAGATTGGAGCTGGAGTTTTCCATAAGGTGTCAGTGAGTCTTTAACATGCAAATGAGTCGCTTCCCTCGGGGTATTTTAAAAGACCCTGTCAGCCGTGAAATATGTCTGTCGATGAAAAACACCTTTCATTATTAAACCCTTTGCTAATGAATCGCCTGCTCTGTTCTGTTTACTTGTCTGACTTTCACCTGAGTTACCTCTTACAGAAGCACACACACTTTTGGGGAGGGGAAGGGAGCTTGAGGACACCAAGACCCTAAAACCTAAACATCGGATAACAATATTAGCAACAATTAACCTTTACAAAGCCCTTTGCACTCATTATCTCCTTAGAATCTCCACACAACCCAGGAAGATGAGACAGATATTATTATTATCCGCAGGCATAAATAAGAAAAGGAAGGAGCAGAGGGGGTGAGAGATTTTTCCCAGGTGACTCAGCTAGTAAATGGCAGCATTAGAGCTTGAGCCTGTCTATGTCACGTGACCTCCTTCACGGACTTGCAGAGCTCTGTTCACCAATGTCCTTACCACCGTTCACAGGTAACCGTGTCAGTCACTTTGGGCACCGACTTTGATTTCTGACCCTCTATCAGGCCCAAACAATGGCGGCATGTAGAAGACACTGCCTGGAGCCCTGGAAATCAACATGGCAGAGTATCAACCAAAGCACCTCACCAGAAACAACCCATTCTCGTCTAGGAAACATTTAGGAGAGCTGTGTTATTGTCAGATCTATGAGAAGAATGGACTCCATCTTGCTGGACCATAAGGGAACACCCCAGCAGGTGATGAAACGAGGCGAAATGCAAGTGCAGAAAGTTATACAAATGGGAAGTTGATGGTCAAATGAAATGCCCATCCCCTGGACACAACTAAATGGGGAACCAAGCACTTACTGTTTGTGGTGGGCCAATAAATGGCTATGCCTATCAGTTACCACCCGTCCGCAGCCCCCTCCCCATGCCACATCCCAGGACAAGAAGCATGGAACCACCTTTCCCTGCTTGGTGCACACGTAAGAATGGCCAGAAGAAAGGCAATTTGGCTCTAATTCCATCAGTCCCATAAGTGACCACAGCCTCCTCACATTTCCTAAGTAGGCTATTAGAGAAATTGAGCCTTATTTCTTCTGGTCTGCTCCGCTTCCAAGACTGGAAAAGACCCAATAAGAGTGATCAGGTTTTCAGGGAAACCTGAAAATGTTTCATGATGTGGTTAAAAAGCAAACAAGGTAGTTGATTCCATCGTGTCTCAAGTCTGGAAAGATGCACAGCCAATGCCCAGGGACCATATAGTTGGCCTGATCAGGTTTCTAACCTGCCCTACCACCAATGATGCTGTCCAAATGTAATCAAACTCCCTTTCCTAGGGTTTGACGCCCAGGAGGCGGCTGAATCAATATTGATTAAATAAAGGAATCCCTGGCTGATGCCAAGGTCCCAGAGCAGACAGAGAAAATAAATCTCACCCAGAAAAAGGAATAGAAATTCTCCATTCACTTCATCCTGGGAAAGTGGGGACTCAGGGCAAACAGTGGAAAACCAAACACAAAGAGCACGTGGCAGGTAAGAGGTGGGTCACCGGAATCCCTCTGACACAAAAATCTAAACCCAGGAGATTTAGTGAGTGAGTTGGGGGCCAGGCGGTTGAGCAAGGAGTAGGGGAATGGATGCCAGAACCAAGCACTATTTTTATCTTATAGGTCCCCCGTCTGACAAGAAAATGTATGTATCAGGAAGGAATAAAATGCAAGCTCTCCCAGCAGAGGTCAAATCTTAACATCTGTGAGGGCTGTTGAGAAACAGCCAAGCCAATAGACACAATAGAATATGATGTAACCCAGGAAAAATGACACAAGCATAGACTTCGAGAAAACCTGTATATGCAAAAATGTAGGGGCAAATTAAGTGTATACAGTAATACGCACATGTTTACCATCACTACAAAAAGTTAAACTGGCAAACAAGGACACAAAGGCCCATAACCCGGTGTGAAGAGCTGGTGCTTTAAGTTCACAGGACTTTTTTCCTATAAAGCAATAGTACTCAAAAGTATGTTCCGGGCAGCATCCCTCTCTCCCAGGAGCATGTTACAAATGCAAATTCTTGCTCCCCACCCCAGAGCTGGTGAATCAGAAACTTTGGGGATGGGGTCCAGCATTCCGTGTAATAACAAGCCCTCCAAGTGATTCTAATGCAGTCTGAGAAGCTGTGCAATAAGAAAACGCTTAAAGAAAACATAGGAAGTCACAGATAAGTCTAATTCACTTTCAACTCGGCAAGTATCTCTTGAGCACACACTAAGTGCCAATGATCATGGACGGGATAAATAAATACTTGTTGAATTGGCTGACTTCCTACCTAGTAGGAAGTAAACGCCACTTAACCTGGGGACAGAGCTGTGCTGTCTCCCATAGGTTGCTCTCCATACACAGTTGTCATCTGCACGTTTTTAGAGAGACCTGGAAGTGCAGGGCCCGGCAAGGTGCGGGAGATCAGAAGCGCTCTCGGGGCACGCCGCGAGTCCAGGCCGAGCACAGGGGTTTCGTATGCGCCCCCGCTCTCGTCCAGACCACGCCCACCCCCCGCCGCCCGCGCCCCGGAGCCCGTAGACCGCCTAGGGAGAAGTCGCCTGGTTGAGCCACCTGATGCCCCCTGGTCCAGCTCCAGCCCTGCCTACGCGCGAGACCGCGCCACCGGAGCAGCCCGTCCGCGCTTCCGCCCACTGCTGAGCCGGGCTGGAGCGTCTCCGCAGAGGGGGCGGGGCCCTGCGGGTCACGTGGCCACGCACCGGCCCCCGGTGACAAGGTCACAGGCCGGGGGTTCCCTCCCCACAGCCTGAGCCGAGGCAGGCCCCCGGCGCGTCTATACCGCCTCCCCCGCGCTCCACGCGCGGTGCGGCCCCGGCGCGCCTGCCCTACTCACCCCAAGGGACGCAGGGACGTGGCGCCAGGTTCCACACCGCACGCGGGTGACGGGGTTCGCAGGGACTTTGCTTTCCGCCACCGGCGGATTGCGCCTAATGAAGCGGAGGCGCCGCGCGGCCTGCCGGGACTTGTAGTCCGTGGTTCCCTAAGCCGCGGGCACTAGAGCCACGGAACCCGCGCTCCCCCCGGACCTCTCCGTCCGAGGAGTCAGAGAGGTCAAGACACCTTACCTGTCAGATAGCCTTGTTTCTTTGCCCGGCTGCGGACAGAGTCCTCCTGTCTTTCCGAAGGAGGCATAGATTCGTGTTCAGTGGAGGATGGAGTTGTCGGTTTGTGTATTTTAAATAAGGTATTAGAAGAAGTAAGCGAGGAATACATTTACTGACAGTTGCCGAATGGTGAGAATGTGCTGATTAATCTTAGTTATCTCTGGCCCCCATTCGTTCATTCATTGATCTGTTTCGCATGTTTATAAGATGTACTTTAGAGACATTCATCAGACGTTCACTCATTTTACAAATATCTCTTGAGGTACTTCTTGAGGGAACAGAGTTGGGGGGAATTGATCTATCAATTCAATACAATTGCAATCAAATTTCCAACAGGATTTTTTCTGGACTATCACAAGCTAATCTAAAATTTATATGCAAAGGGCGCCTGGGTGGCTCAGTCGTCAAGCGTCTGCCTTCCCCTCAGGTCATGTTCCCAGGGTCCTGGGATTGAGTCCCGCATCGGGCTCCCTGCTCAGCGGGAATTCTGCTTCTCCGTCTCCCACTCTCCCTGCTTGTGTTCCCTCTCTCGCTGTCTCTCTCTCTGTTAAAAAATAAATAAAATCTTTAAAAAATAAAATAAAATTTATATGCAAAAACAAACGGTAAAACATTGCCAAAACACTCCTGAAGGAGAGTAACTAACGTGTTTCAAAGACTTGGCCTTTCGTATATCAATATTTATTATAATGCTGTAAGAATTAAGGTCATTCGGTATTAGTATAAGAATAGGCAGAAGGGGGGAAAGAAATCAGCTTAGAGAACCCAGAAACAGATCCAGGCATTTGTGGGATCTTGATATATGACAGAGCTGGCATATAGATCAATGGGGAAAGACACATCATTCAATATATGAGCTGGAGCAACTAGTTATCTGTTGGATCCTTCATTCACCCCCCAGACAAAAACTAATTCCAGGTAGATTAAAGACTTTCAAGGGAAAAAACAAAATCAGAAATTTTAAAAGAAAATAAAGGAAAACATCCTGTGATCTCAGGGTAAGGTTTATTAAATGACACAAGTACAAACTATATACATAACTTTGATACATTTGGACTGCATTAAATTCAACAACTTCTCTTCATTGAAGGGCATAAAAAGACAAGCCACAGACTAAGACAATTGATGCACAGAGACAGCAGTGGTGTAGAATTGCCTAATACAGCCCCCCTCCCCTGCCGCTGTCTCAAGTTTGTGGTGTATACATGCTAAGATAGGAACATAAATAATTTTCAAGCAGTGTGAGAAGTGTGAGCTGGAGGTATGAACAAAGAGGTATAGGAACACAAAGAAGGAAAGAGTAATTTTGCCCAGGAGATTCTGAAATGCTCCATAAACTAAGAACTGACTTGGAGGCTGGGCATTAAAGGTTGAATAGGGGCTCCCCTGAAGAAGGTTGTTCGCATCAAAAAAAAATCATGTAAAAAAGCATAAAGATGCAGTAAAATACAGTAAAAGACATAAAAGATATTTAAATTAAAATGGGAAGTTTAAAACCAGAGAGAAGACAGAACAAATATATTAAAAATTTAATATGGTTACTCTAATTGCCCCTTAACTATAAAAATGTTACTAGCAAGCTAGAAGTTACCCTGAGGAATGGAAATAGAGGAAAGGGGGGTTAGAGAACTTTGTTTACACCCTGTGCCCTTTTATATTTGAATTTTTTTTACAATGAATGTGTGTATAACTTTTATAATTAAAATTTAATTATTTAAACACTTCTTAAATTTTAATTTTTAACCCTTCAAGTTCAACATGTTGAGTACACTCATTTAAATCCACTCCTTCCTAAAATCCCATGAAAAGGACAGGAAAGGAATTAAAAAAAAAAGTCATAAAACCCAAAGGGAACAAATGAAGAGACAACAGGCAGATGGAAAAAAATCAAAAAATAAATGTGGGAGGCTCCAACGCAGATAGGCAAATGAGGCGCTTATAAACAAGCCCCAGAAATTCTGACTTTAGAGTCTAGTCTGGGATCTGGACCTCCATAGTCCTTAGAAAGCTCCCTCAGTGATTTTAATGGGCAGCTTAGTGGAAAAGCTCTCTCAAGGAGGCAGTTCATGTAGTGAAAAGCCGGTGGATTAAGAGCAGTGGTTCTCAGGCAGGTTAGAATCACCTGGAGAGCCTTAACAGCCCTCCTGGGGAGTACCTGGGGGGCTCAGTGGGTTAAGTATCTGCCTTGGGTTCATCTCAGGGTCCCGGGATGGAGCTCTGTGTCTGGCTCCCCGCTCAGAGAGGGAGTCTGCTTGTTCCTCTGCCCCTCTCCCCACATATGCACAAACACACAGGTGTGCTCTCTTTTTCAAATAAATGAATAAAATCTTTATTTTTTTTTAAAGATTTTTATTTCTTTGACAGAGAGAGACACAGCGAGAGAGGGAACACAAGCAGGGGGAGTGGGAGAGGGAGAAGCAGGCCTCCCTCAGAGCAGGGAGCCTGATGCAGGGCTCGATCCCAGGACCCTGGGACCATGACCTGAGCCGAAGAAGGCAGTCGCTTAAAGACTGAACCACCCAGGCGCCCCTGAATAAAATCTTTAAAACAATAACAACAACAATCCTCTTGGGCCACACCCTAGGGGGCAGGACCCAGGTGTAACTATTTTGTAGAGCTCCCCAGAGGGTTTCAATGCCTATGCAAGGTCATTTCTGGGGGGCAGGACCCAGATGTAACTATTTTGTAGAGATTCCCAGAGGGTTTCAATGCCTATCCAAAGTTAGACACCACTGATTTAGAGTCAAAGAGTCTTGTTTCAAATGTGTGACTTAAAGCAAGTTTTATGCAACTGATGAATCACTAAATTCTACCTCTAAAGGGCGCCTGGGTGACTCAGTTGCTAAGCGTCTACCTTCGGCTCAGGTCATGATCCTGGAGTCCTGGGATCAAGCCCCACATCTGGCTCCTTGCTCAGCAGGGAGTCTGCTTCTCCCTCCCCCACTCCCCCTGCTTGTGTTCCTTCTCTTACTGTGTCTCTCTCTGTCAAATAAATAAATAAAATTTTTTTTAAATAAATAAACATATTCTACCTCTGAAACCAATAATACAGTATATGTTAATAAAAATTATTTATAAGTCAGAGGGGGAGACAAACCATGAGAGATGATGGACTCTGAAAAACAAACTGAGGGTTCTAGAGGGGAGAAGGGTAGGGGGATGGGTTAGCCTGGTGATGGGTATTGAGGAGGGCACATTCTGCATGGAGCACTGGGTGTTATGAACAAACAATGAATCGTGGAACACTACATCAAAAACTAATGATGTAATATATGGTGATTAACATAACAATAAAAAATTTAAAAATATATTTATTTATTTTTAAAAGCAACTTTTCTAATTTGGCAAAGCTTGATCTTCCTTCTTGATTTACCAGTGATAAAATGATAGTTTCCCTCTTGATAAAAGGTATTAACTATTATCTGTCCTACCTACCTCAGAGGTTCTTACGAGGATCAGGTGAGATGGGGTGTGTTGACTTGCCAAACTGGCTGCTACTAATAGGCCCTCACACTTCCTGTTCCCCTATAATTTCAAAGGTCTGCTTCATCCCAGCAATCTGTTCTCTGTTCCAATGTCACCCCTCCAGAGAGGCCATCCCTGACTACTCTTACCTAACCGCCACCACCCCACCACATTCCCTGAGACACACTCTATCCCCTTACACTGCTTTATTGTTATAGCACTCATCAGTACTTGAAATTATATTATTCATTTGTTTAGATGGCTTTTATCTGTCCCCTCCACTAGACTGTAAGCTTCATGAGAGCAGGGATTTATATCCTCAGTGCCTAGAAAGGAGACAGACAAGAGAGAAGCAAAGAAACAACAGGATAGTTGCATAATGTAATAAACCCTGTAAAGGAAAGAAGCAGGGGTGTGTGATAAAGACTAACTAAACAGAGGCCCGAGATAGTGTTTGGATAGAGAAGTCAGGCGAGGCGTCTTTGAGGAAACTGCAACCTGATGGATGAACAAGTCAGCCATGGGGAAGTTGAGGAAGTATGCCCCAAGCAGAGGGAACAGCAAGTGCAAAGACCCATGGGGTAGGAAAGAGTCTGGCATATTTGAGGAACAGAGAGGAGCCCGGTGTAACTGAGGCAGAGAGAATGGTGTGGGAGAAGGTAGGAGAGGCATGTAGGGGCCAGGTCACACGGGGCCTCAGAGCGCTCACTGGTTTGGATTTTAGTTCAAGTGCACTTGGAAGCCATTGAAGGGTTTTGTTGAGATGGGATGTGACCAAAGAAGCTACATAGAAAAAGCACTGAGCAACCGAAGCCACAAAGGGAAGCAGCTAACTTGTCTCAGAACCTGCCAAAGTCCCAGTTGAGTTTCTGAGGCAACAGGGCCGGGAGTTGGTAAGGCTGAGTATTCAGAATGCTATCCAAGAGAAGTGTTCATGCAGGATGCTGAGCGTCTTGTCCTCGAAGTGGACCATCTGGGAGGAAGCATCAGACAGCACCCAACCAGAGGAAAAGCAAGAGAATCCAAAGTGCAAGGTTCTTGCTTACGGCAATGAGAAAAGATTACTGCGGAGGAAGTAATAAGGGAACTGTGTTCTTTGCAGAAGGGAAAAGCCTTAAGGCCTGTAGTAGAGAAAGCAGAAAATCTGTATTTGGTTCGCAGCAGTATTCCAAAGGTAAGCAATGCGCTACAGGGGTCACAGCCACAGAAGGAAGCATGAGCCGGAGGGCCGGAGCTTGTGTTAACACCTGCCCAGGACAGAGTTTCCACCCAGACCCAGGACCAGAAGGTCAGGGTCCAGCTATCCCCAGAGGGCAGCTGAGCATTTGCCAGAGAATCTGCAGAC